TCAAGTGTCGACGGTGAGTATGTTGTAAGGTGGTGCTAGATGTGAGCTTGTTGGTAGGTGTGTATTCATGCATCTCGAATTAGGCTGAAGAGCTGTAATGCCCATCCTTGAGTTCTGTCTATGAAAGAATCACGGCATCAATATAGCAAAACGTGGAAACACACACATGATTGGAAGACATGAAAAGAAATCTGAATGCTGAAATCTGAAATCTGAAAGCTGGAATCCGAAGTATTCTTCAAGAACCGTTTTTCGGCCCGGCGGCCGGTGTGGCAGTTGATTCTGTGAGGGTGTCGGTGCCTTCCTGTGAGAGTCCAGTGAGCGGTGGTGCGTTGGGGTGGTTGCTTTCCCATGCAGAATCGGCGCCCCTGTGACGGGGATCACACTCAGCACCCGAGTGGGACGGCTGAGCGGGACACACTTCGAACTTGGGTTGTCAGTTAACGCAATTGCCACGTTGGGAAGGAAGGCGATAGAACAGCATGGCGCAAAGTCCGACAACTTGGAAGTGTTTGAACATCGATTGTTTCACTTGACGTCGGTCAGCGGCCGGCTGCAGCTCACGAACAGTGGGAAACCTGTTTGTGGGAGGGTATCATGAAGAAGAACCATGGAAACAAAGAAACAGCAGCAGGGCGGACCATTGGTGTCATTGCGTTCAAAGCAGGTACACACCGAGACGTCTCTCGGTGCTTCCCCTCCAGCGACGTAGCTTCGTTGGGCAAGGTTTGTCGCCGGAGGCCTTGCCCCCCTGCTCATGTAGGGTAGAAAGAGTGGTGGTGGAAAACCCTTTGTCCAGGGTTGGACACACACACACACCAGTCTACAACGCAAAGCATCCCCGTCCGTGCAGGACACCCATCCACACAAAGCCGGCTGCGATCCGCGACGAACTAAGGAGTGGCGGGAGTGGTTTGCCTCCACCACCTCCAAGCTACTCAGGCGGCGCCCAAACCAGACGGTCGATAGTGGAAACTGAATTGTGAGGTGTGTTTTCTGGGAATGGGAAGAGAACGGGGAAGAAGGAAGAAGGACCAGTCATTCAGGAATCCTGTGGCCAAGTTATTCAGGCGTTTATTCAAGGGCAGTGGTGGAGGGCGATGGTGATGGCGATTTGTTTCTCAGAGGCCACGACAATGATCAACGGACCCCACGACTGCATAGGCGTGCTATATAGCGTGTTGCAATAGGAATGGCATTGCCCACTGGACCACGCGTCGATGAATCTCTACCGCGGCCGCAGGTGCGCCGCCACCTGACTGCAATGCGGCTGATTTTCGCGGGACGGCTTGGGACATGGGGCATCTGAACATCGTGTGGAATTCGAGGTTCACAGATTTGCAACTCATTTCGACGTACGATGCGATCGATGGGCATTCCGAAGTTTTCAGGAGAATGCCATACATGCAGGACCTCAGGAGGGTCGGCTCTTGTTCGTTCGGACCATATTTCATCGTCTGGATCATCCGTATTAGACTGGACCACCAGACAGGAACACCCAGACAGGGTGATCCTGGTAGATTGGGATATATTGGGTTCATTTTAGGGGGGCATGCTTATATTCTAGCTGTTGCACAGCTGTTCGGAGAGGTTGTCGAGGCTGTCCATTGAAGCTGTCCTTCTGCCTTCCTGTTTTGGTCAGTCGAAGGTAAAACCTCTCCACCTCACTCCCAAGGTCATCCTTCAGCACTCAAGGCGGGTGAGACAAACCGCTTCGGGCGATGGAGACCGCCGGGGACGTGGACCTGTCTAGACGAGGATGTGTGGTTCGCATCAACACAGTGGTACACTGTCGCCAGGTGAACGAGGACACTCCAAACTCACTGAAATGCATGGACAATTTATGTTGTCCCCAAAGTCATTTCCAACTTTATACACAATATATTTACTGTATTGACACTTTTCAATATTTTAAGACATTTTATATTGTGGTGAAAACTTGTTGGAACACAAACATCGCCTCACTAAGCCTCCCCACTTGGAAGAAATTCGCAGAGCACCAGAACTGTTCTGATGGTTCTTCCGGGTCAGAAATTCCAGAACATCTCCAGGTTCTTTCAGCGAAACCCGGTGCATTTCCATCACTACAGGCTGTCGACGGTACTCTCGCATGACTGGCGGCAGGTACCGGTTACACTCCCCAGTGACTTGGCGGATCGCTCGTTCGCTTGGATGATCTGATCATCGCTCTCTTTGTGGAACCGGGAAGTCAATTTGAAATGACAGAATCAATGGTGGTTCTTTGCAGTGACATGAAAGCAACTCATGTAAATCTCAATCAACTGAGCACCAACCAATCAGCATCAGATCCATACTTCATCATACTTCATCCGGATATGAAGTCATGTGAGTCAGCTGTTTGCCAGTGCCAGTCAGCTGTTTCCCAGTGGCTTTATGTGAGCCCTATACCACAGAGTCTAGGGTGTACAAGATCGTACAAGAGGCTATGTGAGCTACAGTTTTTGATGTCCTCGCATGTCCTCGCAAATGTTCATACCTTTTCTGTTCAAAAAGATCTGCGGAAACTCTCCCTGTCCTCAGGTATTCGGCGGTAGGCGGCAGCGGACGGTACCAGGGACGATACTAGGCGCCGGGAGACCACGGATGCTGTGACCGTTGGAGAGGACAGCTGACAGACTCATAAGGCGGTCCTGCCGTGGTTCCAGTTCAGTGGATCACTTGTTGTTTTTTGGTGGGCAATACCGTAGGTTTCCCCACTACCCATCGCAACAAACCTTTTCTTGGGAGGATTTGTTGGGGGCACTCCACTACGGAGTGAAAAGTGGATCACCTGCCAGCAGTCACAAAGGGGTGGTGTTTAGTCCCCTTACGTGAGTGGATGTGACAAGGGCACCCCGACTTCCTCCATGGATCGCACCCCTAACCTTGTGACTGCTGCTGCAAGAATCTGGTGTGGGGAAGGCATTGGGACACTCCTCTTCAAAAGCCCAAAACAGCTTCGTCCGGTTCGACCGACTGGTCCACCGGAGCCCTGGTCCGGACGCTGAACGAAGGCGACTGAACACCCGTCCTCCGGCCACGTGGCGTGAAATGGGCCACCTTGCAGAGAAGTTCCTTCTTGACCCTTGCTGACCTTAGGGAGATATCTATTTATATGAGCTATATAGGCTATTTATATGAGCTACATATATGCATGCCAGTGAAGCCACTGGGTGACCATACGGCTTTAGCAAAGTGCAAACCCCCGCCGCGGCCGACAGGTCCCCGCTGCCGCGGATGTCCGGGTCCCCCTCTGAGCCGGAGAGTTCACCGAGGTGAGGAGGTGATTGACTAAGCTCCGAACATGCGAAGGACTGAGGACTAAGGACTATAGTTAGTACTAAGGACTAAGGACTATAGGTTATAAGGACATCTGAGGTGAGTTACTGAGCTCCATATCATGGTTAGTTAGTAGGTTACATCATATTGTACATCCATGTACACCACAGTTGGGTTTGTACTTTCCTGTTGATATCCTTCCTGCCCTTTTAGAGAATGGGACATTTCTCTAGCGCTTGTACATGCTTGTACTCCACGGGTTTGGGTGGGCAGCTTCCATTTTTTTCGACCAAACAACACGCCAGGGTCAATCAGCCTAGACCCCCAAGGAGATCTGCAGAAGACAGCAACACATGGGAAAAGAATCTCGCTTTTGTACTACGTACGCTTGAAGCAGATATGGGGTCAAGCCAGAAGCTCGCATGCACTTAATTAAGTAAAACCATCTCCAAAGAAATACTAAAATGATGTGTTCCGTCTCCTCTGAACCTCACACAGCGATTCATTCGCGCCAATGCTCGGCACCCATCGATTTGACGTAGATCGCCCGGCGACAACCTGAGTCATGTGCAAAAGCGGTGGATGTGCTGATAGATCGAAGCCAAGTACATCAACATCAATGGCTTTTGCGATTGTGGAAGCAACAACGACGGCTAGAGGTCGTCATAGGGCTTCATTTTGCTCGCAACCCACTCATCAAACAGGAAGGTTGTTGCCGGCATGTAGATCGAATGATAGATCGAATGATAAAAAGAAACGCGAGGCTGACAGTCTGAGTGGAAAGGGCCGCCATCGACGTCTTTATTTGCACCGGAAATAACAGATGACACACGATCAAGAAACAAGTGCCACGCTAGTAGTAACAGGTGCCTTACTAGTAGTAAAAAGAAGCTAGTAGAAACCAGTGCCACGCTAGTAGGAACCAGGTTCCTAGGAGCGAACACACGATCAATTCTCACTTCACGGGACCCTCCGTTTTGACCTGCCCCCTGACAATGGACAGATTCACCTCGCTATGAGTCGCTATGTCTCAACATTTGATAGAGGCAAGAAGAGACTAATCCCATTGGTTGTGGGGACAGCTGATTCAGAAACAGCTTGTCAAGCTTAGCATCTATATTTGTTATTGCTTTTTGACCTTTTTGGCTTCTATACTCACTGCAGCCCATGAACATGTGCGTTTCTCAATGGTCAACGTTTTCCGCCGGCCAAGCCCAAAGAGAGAGCCGGCGTACGCCAATGCGACGGTGAAGCTAAAAGGGGCGATGAAGAGTTCATGTCAAGTGGAACACAAGACAACAAGAGACGTTTAAGCTTTCCCAGTGGATCAGTAGCCACTATAATTAGTGAATTAGTGGATAACCAGTGGCAGACTAGAGCGAACGAAAGTCCGGTTCCTGATAAATATAGTGCTAGCTGGAATCCAGTTGGTTTGATATCAGGAGTCCAGATTCCGCTGCTTTTCATGGATGCTTGTATTTTTAACTAGTATCCAGTAGCAGCCTGAGCCAATAACCTGAAAGCACCAGTAGCGCAGAATGCGCAGAGTACCTCCTTTTTGGAGCAGAGTTTTGTTCATAGACTTTATGATACTTCATGCAATTCCTCTAACCATTCAATTGTTGCTTTTATTCTTTAAAACTGCTTGTTCTTTCCGAAGTCGCCAGGTCTGGCCGCATTCCACCTGCCTCCGGGTCTCCGGTCCCTCGGAGAGGGACCCTCTGGCAGGTTGAGATCCTGGAGACGCCGCCCAAGAGCACCAAGAAGGGCACAGAGGTTGCTTCATCCACGGTCGCGGCCCAGGAAGATGGAAACAATCACTTTAAGGTTATCCAAGTTGTCATGATTACTGTATAAGATATTATAATGATGTTTTTTGGCTTTGGCCTGCTTTAGGAGGTTTCCTTCATCATTGTTCAAAGATAGTTTGCTTCATTGGAACAAAAGCACTTGCCCCCCATGATGGGGGGTCATAGGTGGATCAGATACTTAGCCAGCCAGTGCCTAACCTTGAAGCAGCCTTGAATCTTTGACGATTTTCTTTTGGTCCTATTTGGGTTCCCTACCAAATGGACAGTCAGATAATGAAATCTATTTGCTGGCCTTTTGCTTTCCAGGGAAGCGGCTAGGGGAATTATGACCCAGACCGGTGATTGATTTTCATCCACTTGAAACCACATCCTGCATCGTCCTGCAAACACGCTTCAAAAGCCAAGGTCATCCTGGATGCTGAACCAGCGTCGCCACCGAAGGCGACCATTTCGGATCGCACATTGGACGATAGATTACTTACCCTGAGAATCAGAATTATCTGACCAGGATACATACCTGAATCGGAACTTACTTTTCAAGTGGGCAGTCCAGCCCACCCTGCTTGCCACATCCAAATCCAACTGAAATACATTGTTTTCTTATGTTAAATTCGTTTTGAATTTACTGCGGTGTCCCGCCCACCCTGGTTGCCAAATCCAAATCCAACTGAAATACATTGTTTTCTTATGTTAAATTCGTTTTGAGTTTACTGCGGTGTCCCGCCCACCCTGCTCGCCAAATGCAAATCCAACTGAAATACATCCCTGTATGCTCGCCAAATCCAACTGAAATACATCCCTCTATGTTAAAACAATATACATCCTTCTATGTTTCTGCGGTAAAAGTCTTTGGACCTCGGAACGGGCCTCGAGAACACCCTCTCTTCCAGAAACGACGGACCTCGGCTGAGAACGGATCGATGAGTCATCGCGGCGGGACCGGGACCTGTTCAGGTGAGTCGTTGGTGGCGGATGTGGTGATAGGAACGATGCCCGATGTGGTGAGGGGGTGCCCTGCTGTATAAGTCACGGGATGACTCTAAGATCCCAAGCGGTTTTCGGACGACTTCTTCAAAAATCATCCCGTTCTAACAGTAATTGGTTGGTCCATGTTGGTCCCCATTCGATGACTTTCTTAAAGCCCTTGGCTTGAGGACCCTTGCTTGAAAGGGGCCTTCGTAACTTTTGCACTTCTGCGTGACGCAACACCTTGTCTCGCCAGGGCTCTCCATCGAAGCACCCTGGCTGAAATTGGATGGACATAGTTGCCCGGCTCCAAACAAATAGAGCATTGGCATGACTTGTCTGTTGCTATGTGAGTTGGCTCTCCCCAAGGACTCCAAGAACGCCGATTGGTCAAGAGCCTGCCAGTGGACTCAGCTCGCTGGAAGCGTTGCAATCTAAACTTGAAGAAGTTGCGCAGAGTTGAAGGAATGTGCTTGGAGACAGGGTAGCAAATGTCTTTTTGTTACATTGTTTTGCTATTTGTTTTTAAATCTTAACCCTGGTCAGTGTCAGATGTGTTGAATCTTTCACCTGGATTTGTGTTTTTCTTTATATACAATCATTTACAATCATAATCCGTCAACCTACTCAGCTTTGGGCAATTTTGATTGAATGTTTGACTGTTCTATATTCCTGAACTGGTCCCCCTGAAGGCACTGACAAAAGCAACTGCTGCCATTGTCGATGAGTCAATATTTTGCCAGAGTCATGTATTAACATTAACATCTGATTTACTCGATTGCTGTTCATTGCTGTTCCGATTCCATATGCCAACTCCTTAGCACATGTTTCCAGTTTTGAGGCCAAAAAAGGCCTTGCATGCGATGCATCACAGGGCCAGAGTGCATCATCGCAGTGGCATTGCACAAGAGGCGAAGGAGAAGAATCATAATGTCGAACAACAGTCTTTTCCGGCAAAACCGCGATATCAACAACAGAAGGCAGAGTCAGATGGAACAAGAGCAAGAAAAGACAGGAAGAAAAGGAGAAGGAGAAGAAGGAAAGGCCACAACGGCTGCCGCAACAGCAACCCAATCTCAACCACCGACAACGACGACAACAACCACAACAGCAGCAGCAAGAACAATAATATGACAGGGTTCAGATGCGTTCAGCATTTTGTGTTGTTTGTGGGACAGAGGGGTAGCAATAAAGTCTGTTGCCCATGGTGATCCCAGTTACCACTTATGCTTGTGGAACCAGGGTGTTTCTTGGGTCTTGGTATGTTTTGGTCTAGGGTTGGTATCACTGCTTGGCATCGTAGTTTGCCTGAATCCCGCTCATTCTTAAGGTGCTTGGATCCTCCAGTCATCGCCTTCAGGTCACTCCAGTGATGAAACATCGTTGGTCGAATCCTGGGAGGCGCGTGAGACATCGCTGCGACGGAGACGGGATGCTCCGTTCACAGCGGAACATTCCGTGTACATGGCATGGCACACAGACACGCACTTAGGAAATGCGTACTGACTCGATTGCGGTTTGCCACTCGCCAACCTAAGTGAAAACCTAAGAGTTCAGGTAAGTTGAAACCTCCAAAGCCCGCGAAAGCGAGAGGCCACGACAGGTTGACGACGTTCGCTCACAACTGCAGAGTGCGAAACCGATGCACTGGCTGAAGTTCTTGTTCTAGCTAAAAGCAGGGACCAATAGGAAGTTTCCAGGTCAGAACATGCAGGTACACGTGGTTGATCAGACCACTCATCCACCGAAATGCGATAGCTTTGTTGGACTGGATAGGCAAATCGACTCCACCCCATGATCAGTGATGGATGTCCAGGATGAACCCCCATGATTCTTGACACGGGAGTTTCCAAGAACACTTGCTGCAAACCTGTTCATGACCCGAATTCGGGCGCTCCATGGTGCTGTTTCGGTCAAAGCCGGTCGAGTCTAGCCACTCAAGTCCCTCAAGCCAAGACCGGCTTGACCCTTCTCATGCTTGGGGGGCCTCCACCAAAATGGAGAGAGAGAGAGAGAGATACTTTTTTTTTGAGGCCCAGATGTGTGGAAAAAGTTTGATTCTATGGATCCCCTGCTGCAAATGAGAAGGAAAAAGAAAAAGGAAAGCCACTTCGAAGGAAGCCCTATGATTCCAAGGGTGTCACACACACACAGGTGCTGGTGCACCTGGGCAATGAGCGAACAGATGCCACACGGTGTGCATGAGGACAATTAGGTTCCTGAGCCAGCGGCGACAAGCAGCAGGTTAAAATAAACCATGGTTAATCAATCTTTTTTAATGAGTCCGGCAAAAGGGTCAAATGCAACTGTACTCATGCTCCACTTTCACAACATCACCTCGGATGGTATGTGTTCCTGGTATGGGCTTGTGTCGTATGACCTGCTGTACAATTTAAATTGATCATACAGGTTCAGGGTGGAGATGCTAGTATTTGCAAACAACGGGTGGGCTGTGCTGCAGTTTGGGGCTTCCCTGTGGGCTTGGTGCCATCAAGACTGCCACTTTGTAATTAAAGGACAATGGTTATGTTAGATGACAATTTGTGAAACATGTACCAACAAAACTTTCCAATGTAGTCCAGCAGTCTCGAAGAAAATCGAAAACAACATACAGGGCATGTTTGTAAGAACATGTTGTTGAAACTGCAGATTGAACATGAAACTGTGATGGTGGTAGGGACCGTGAATGATGTGCCGTGTTTGGTTTTGATGTGAGTGAGACATGTTTTGCCTAACGCTAGCCATGTTGGCGAAAAGGGTCAGGCCGGGGCTCCTTGTGCGTGTTTTCTGCAGGCCGTTGGTCAAGCCAAAGAATTTGAGCATGTTTTTCAGTGATGGCCCCAGTGATCTTGCGGGGCGTGTGGGGTTGTTCCTTGTGCAAGACAGGAGTGCCGATCCGATCTGAACCCAGGGGTATTTGGTTCCTTACTAGCTCCTCATTCAAACGACCTGTGGCCCCGTTTTTTGAGCATTGGGTTTTCACATATTGTCTCCCCAGATCATCCCCACTCTCATCCAGTCGAAGAAGCTGGCTGCCTTCACTGGCCCGCCTGCTCGGCCCCCTCTGCTCGAAGTCTGTCGGCCTCGATCAGGCCCAGCACCAAAGGTGAAGATCTCGCCGGTCGACCGGCGCGCGCAGGCGCCTCGCGGATGGCAGGAAAGCATGGTATGACATGGGACCCAAGCGCCCCTTCCAAATCTTCCAATCTCATGGCTCATGGTTTGGTGACTTATTGAGGTTTGAGTAGTGTGGCCAGTGTGACTCACCGGTCTGATTGAGATAGATAGATTCATGCATGATCATGCCCATCTTCTTGGAGGAATGCTGATTTCGTTCTCTCAGTATCTCAGATATCAAAGTTCCCAAGTGCAATGGCCTGTGGTGGTTGCCGCCAGGAACCGCCTGGTGTCGAGTCTGACCCAGCCCAGTGCGGAGCGCAGGGCTGGGTCAGGGGTTCCGATCTGAAGGAAGTCAAGGAGAGCACTCCTGAAAGGGAGCCTCCAACAGATGGGTCTGTTGCAGAGGCTCTGACAGTGCCGCTTGGATGCAATGAACATTGGCGTTTGGAAGATCTTGATATCTATGATGATCTTTCATGAGGGCTGCTTGACGATTTCATTGTTGCCGAATGTCGCAAAGTGCACGTGGGGGCGGGGGAGACAGTCAAGTGAGCTAAACTGCTACACGACTATATGACTATACTAGTGAGCCAAGTCATGAAGCCTCTAAGTTTTGGCATGTTTTGGCAACACATTGTTTTGGGAGCATCTTTCTTTGGCAATTGCTCATCATGTTTGTGCAAATTGCAATGATAGAAGCTTCGTGCGGGACTACGGAACCCCAAAAGTTACTCTCCATTCGGTGCGGTGCTTCTCACTGAACCCCTTTCGGTCAGCCAGGTCAGCCAGGTCGGCCGGCCGCCCTCATACCAGGTGCAAGGACCAGACTGCGACCGGACCTCCAAAACATCCCAACGGGATTCCATGGGACTGCCAATCAGTGGAGTCCCATGGAGTTCCAGCTGAATCATGGTTTTCAGCTCAATCTCCATGGCCTGTTCTCAATCCGTTTTGCATCCCAGGTCGTTGCCGAAGATCTCCACTGCGGCGGTCTTGGGTGCGGGTTTTACGTGGGGATTGGGACGTGGGCGCATGAGGGTAAAACCCTACGTGTAGAAGTCCAAAGACTATACTTTCCTCAGCGAAGTATAGAAAATCCTTTTCAGGTCCTCGAGAGACTCGAGACCATTCATTTTACATCATTTTACAGTCTTTGACTCCCAGGGTATGTATAGACACACAAGACCCCTCGGAGACCATGATAGATGAAGAGGTGTATGTTCTTGGTACTGATGAGACTATGCGAAGTACAGTATGCTCCATGGTTGAATTATCTGCAGGAGTGAGTCAAGTCCTCTTGGGAGCCTTGAGGTACCCGCACAGTGCTTGTCTCATTTGCCAGCTGCTTCAGCTGATACTGGCTGAATCTGGCTGATACATGCTGATACTGTAGCCATCTATAGCCCTTTCCTTCGCTTGGTTTATGGCACGTATCCTTCAAAGCCTTTCCTACCTTGAGATGTTGGATGGTATGCCATGCCTTCTATGTCAGGTGACCGTTGCAAACAAGATACAACGCTTACATCAAGGACAAACCAACATCAACAAAGCAACTTTCCGCATTTCTTGGCTCCAGCGTTCATCAGGGCAAATTCGGCTAGCGCCCAAGACGGTGGAAATTTTGATGGCCATGTGGAAGCTTGGATCGCTTGAGGCAACCTGAGGCACTGTTGGAAGGTAGTGAGCCCAAGCAATGCTGCAGGTGACATGCAAGTGATGTTGTATGTTCTTTACGCACGCCGGCCTGGACTCGAAGTACAGAAACAGCCAGAAACACACCTCTTCACACTGTTTTTTCCACGCCTTCCGGTGTTCGAGCCCCACTGCTTGATCGAACGAGCCACCTGCCCTTGAGCCATTCTGCATCGCAAAAAACCGGGGCCGGATCGATCGATCCGTGCCGGATCCGAAGTGGTTGGAGAAGGGGGGATCTTTTCGATCAGGGAAGACATGTGGTTGAACCATGTTGAACAGATCTGCTGCGCCAGGGCCACCTGATCCCTGACCCCTTCACGCACCCACGTCCATTTAGCGCATGTTCAGCCATCCTTTTCAGCCCTCCGGCCTGCCACCGAGCTCTCAGGAAGGCACTTGCCTTGGCCTTTTTGGCCGCCAGCGCTGTGGCCAAGGACGAAGAGAAAAAGATCGATGGCCCAGTGATTGGCATCGACCTGGGCACCACCTACAGCTGCTGGGCGGGCACGCGTATTGCGGAGCTTTGCGAATGTAGGGGATTTTCAATCTAAAACTTCCTGCGAGTGGATCGAACTAGTTTGGGCTCATGCAGCATCATCTTGAGAGTGATCTTGAGCTACATAGAGTTTGTAAGACTATACAGTAACTACTATACAGTAATACTATTCATTAAGTACAATCAGCAGCATGTTTACTCTTCTTTCAACCTAGCTACCACCAGACAAAGACTTCCACTCTTTGGGCTTCGCGACGTCGGCCCAGGCTGTGTGGGCATCTACAAGACTCTTGCCTCTGTCTTTGGCTTTGTTCCCAAAAGCATATACGCAAGTGGAACACAGATGCAGATGAAGAACAAATGTCCTTTGTACAAACAGGTACAAACAAAGGACTTTGTTGCAACTTCTATGCCCTCAAATCCTGAGTTGATGTTTTATGGATGCCTAACGGTGTGTACTCCATCTCCCTTTCTTCTTGTGCTCGAAATTCTTCCCATTGAGAGCTCCTGCATTTCGGTGCTTTCTCCGAGCTCCAATCAGGAATGGTCGAGTGGAGATCATCCCCAACGACCAGGGCAATCGCATCACACCATCCTATGTGGCTTGGCATGGCAGCAGTATGCTGCAGTGAGCAGGAGGATGCAGGAGGTACTTGGGAACCACATTGAGTGTACCATTCTGCCTTCCATGATTCTTGCTTCTCAGCAGCCCTCTGTATTTCTTCGACCGAATCGATCCACACCTTGCACCGTTCCAACCCGTGACCTTTCGCCCTTCCAACCCGTGAGCGGTGTCCGCTGCGCCGGTGACGGCGTCGAACGTCGGGGCTCGGCCGGTCAGGTGGCCTTCACGGACGATGAGCGACTCATTGGAGAGGCGGCCAAGAATCAGGCGCCCCCGGGATCTGGTTGGGCGGGCGCCGGCTGGGCGACGTCAACGGTCTCTGGGTCCCTTGGGTTTCGTTGTAATGACAGGTGAAGTACCGTAATGTTTTGGAAAGCCAAGAGAGGGGGGTCGGATGGAAGGAGGAAGGGATTTGGCTTGGTATGGAAGGATTTGGAACTTTACTGCAATTCACCTCCCACTTGCAGGTCTCCGCTTAAATCAGTCTAGACTCTAGACCCGTGTTTTGCTCAGGTGATCAAGTGGGGTTGCAATTTTCAGCCTTAAATCCACCATTTCAGAGAGACTTCGATGCCACTATGGCCACTATCCCCGCTACCGGAAGAGTGGAAGAGAGAAAAAGGCTGCAGCTGGGGGGATATGTGCATCATATGTTCATTCATTTATAAATTGTACATCTTGCAAGTTAAAACACACACACACACACCCTTTGGATTGTAGAAGTTCTTCACAAGAGTCTACATCATTCATCCATGTGTGAGCCGGTTTTGGTGTTGGTCTCTAGATGTCTCTAGGCATAGAGGATTTGATTCACCGCCATTTATGACTGGGTGTGAGCAAGACTTTCTGCGCTCAATCATGCAGTTGAATGGATTGATCGTCCATCCGTCCATGGTCCACACCTCAACAGTCTCATAACATGGCTCAGCATGCTAGATCCACATGATGGACACCTCTTCGGATTCAGATGGCCAGATGGCGACAACTTTCTTTCAAAGTGTGAACGAAGGGTTCTTGGGGGTGGAGCGAACTCGTTGAACAGGAACCAAAGAAGGCCAAACCAAGATATTCTCCCATAAACACGATATGAATGCGAGCCTCGAGCTTGCTTCTCCAAGGAATTGGTTCAAAGGCGCAGACACTACTATAGTCCTAAAGTGGCCGCACTCCAAGATCTTGGAGGTTTGCGTGGACCATCCGGAAAGCGACTACTTGAATCAGATCTACGCATGCCTGGAGCGGTCCAATGCCTTTTTCAGCTTGCTTTACAGATTGAAGCTATGGCTGTCAAAGAGGGAGAGCCGAGCTGCAAGGACTGCCGGTCTCGAGATGTTGGCGGCATACAAGCATTGCGCGGGATTTGCTCTCCAGCTTGGTGTGCCCAGGTTCAAGCTGCAACCGAAGCTACACTTTGCCATGCACATTGTCATGAGCCACAAAGAGACAAACAGAGCAACTGTTGAGAAATCAAAAAACACAAAAGCAAGGAATAACTTTTGAAGGAACACCCACAGGTTTGGATGTGTGTATATGTATATGGCGCACCTCTTTGTTGAATATTGTATCTGCGAGCTTTGACGTGACCTTGAAGAGAAAAGGATGTGTTGGAAACACAATGTCTTACCACATGGAAAACCACAAGGTTTGGATGGATATATCCATATGTATATGTATATATTGGCAAGGTCGTTGGAATCACCCTTTGGTTGGTATATTCTAGCTGCAAGCTCTGACATGGTCACACAAGGCTTCACAAAGAGACCAACAAGGGGGTTGAACGATTAAACACATAGTCGGCCTATGAGGGCACAGGCTTGCTAGGACATGGAGAGATGAAAAAAGGCAAATCGCTTGACTCACTCATCCTAGGTTGGACCTCCGTGGACAATTGAATTTGACAGGGATTGTCATACTGCTTGCACTTTTAGAGTGCAGTGAGTGCAGCGCAGTTTCCACGCAACTGCGCCAAACTGCACGAAACTGCACTGTTAGTAAATGAAAGGGGTCTGAATGGAGAAAATGCAGCTGGTGGAAACAGTGTGAGTAAAGTGCTTTGGAGGCAAGCCGTGTGATAAATGTGAACTGGTGCTGAGTGCAGTGCATGATCGCAAGTGAGAACGAGAACCCGGAGAAGAAGCCGATCCAATCCAGAGAAGAAGGCGAGGAATCTTACTAAATGTTAACGGGTGGCAATATGTTGTTTTTTTTGGTTGTGTTTGTTTGTTTGGTTGGTTGTTTCTTTATTTGTTTGGCTTGGCTGGGTTTGGGTTGATTGTTTTTTTGGTTTGTTTTTTGCTTGGATTGGTTTGGCTTTTTGTGTTGTTTTGGTTTGTTTGCTTGATTGTTTTGTTTCAAGTTTCGTTTGGTTATTTGGCTTTGTTTTTTGTTGTTTTTTTGTGTGTTTTGTTTGTTCGCTTGCTTGCTTCCTTCCTTGCTTGCTTGGTTGGTTGGTTGGTTTGTTGTTTCTTTTTTGCTTGTTTGGCTTGGTTTGGTTTGGGTTGATTGTTTTGTGCTTTTGTTTGTTTTGTTTTGTTTCGCGCTGGTTTGATTTGTTTGTTTTGTTTGGCTTTGGCTGCTTGTTTTGTTTGGTTTCGGTTTGTTGTTTTGTTTTGTTTGTGTGGTTGTTGTTCTTGGCTTCACCGTTCACCCGCAACGAAAAACATTCCCCGGATAAGGCCTTATTACTTATTCATTAAGCGCGCGTGCTCTTGGTCCTTTCTGTTCGTCGATCACCAAGTTCCTGGCGGTCATTCAGTTCGATGAGATTGTTGAGTTTGTGGCGACAGCGAATCCCTAGACGCTAGCAGCAGCCTAAACGTCGCTCATCATCGCGAGGTTGACTTGGTGGAGACGGACTACAGTCGCTACATTGAACAAAGACTTGATGCCAGGTCGAACAAAAGGCCACAGGGTGCCTGTTCAATGTGGAGCTCAACGCACTGAATGTGAACCCGTATACTAAAGTCGCGTTGAATGGTGATGGTCACCAGAAGACCCGCCCAAAGCGGCCGTACCAACACCCCCTTGACCTCCTACGCGTGCGTGACGGAGACACAGAAGAGTAGCCAGGAATCGATGGAGGTCTTGAAAGCCCGAGCGCAATCTACATGGACCTCCCCGGCGCGGAGGAGCAGTACGGCGGTAAGGCATTGAAGAGCGCCGACAGTCAAGCGGGCCAAAT